GGGGAGGGGAATCCAGGCATGCTACCTGGAGGAGGAGGCCCAGTTGGGCAATGGAGGGCTGAGTTTTGCCAGGAGGCCATTCAGTTCAGTAGAGCCTGCTATGGTCTTGAGGAGAGAACAAGTTCCTTTCCTGGGAGGGCAAGGGTCACTGGAGAGGAGGGTCTCCTAGGAACCCTGGGGTCTTGGAGAATGGGAACCCAGCTTCTGACTTCTGTTGATTTCTAAAGATCATGATATAAAACTGGATATTGAAGAGTCAGGGCTGGGCTCACACACTGTTCACCAGCTTGACAGGTCACATCTCTGTGCCTCAGTTTCCTCATCTGTAAAATGTGGGGTTGCAGCCATCATGGGAGGGATGTGGGCAGGTCCTTCACCCCAGGATCTCCCTGACAAGACCCCAGTGTCTCACTGTTCTTTTAAAGGAGACAGGAGATAGTTACAGCCCCTGTGCCCTTTTCTTCGAGAATTTGCTTTTGTTACCCAAGAAGGAGGAAGTGAAACGTGACCAGGAGCCTCCTCAGATTTTAGAAAGTTCTAAGAGCCCCAAAGTGTGTGGTGGGGTTTGTTTTGAATGTTTTAGATGAGTCACCAGGAGACTTTGGTCTGATCTGTGACCACAGGATTCCCAGGCTTTTAGGAGCCCTCCACCTGCTGGTCAGAGTTTATCTGGTCAGCTGTCAATAGGGCCTTTTTTGTACCAGACCTGAACAAGGCCTAACAGCTTGCAGCTGCAGTTAGTTCCTGCTCTTGAAGGCCAGCAGCAGAGGGCAGACACAGTGACAAAGGAAGCAATCTCTGTCTCCAAGTCTTGATTTTAGGCAGAAGTCCATATGGACCCTGTCAGATGGGGACAGGTATAGGGAAAGCTACCCAGTTGTTCACTGTACCCCCTGGGAGGACTGGCTGTCCCTCTTTAAGGTCTAGGGCTTTGAACTCAGGGAAGGGATGACACTTTCCTAAGATTCCACAATTGCTGAGCAGGCTGTGGACCTAGCCCTTGGTGGGTGAGTGTGACTTTGCTGATTAAGAGATTGTGGATTGGTCTTCTGGGCTGATGCTGGTAGCTGAAGCTGGTGTGTGGAAAAGTCCAGAAGGATTGGGGTGCTCAAAGGACAAGGAAGCTCTGGAGTGTGACTCTGATGCAGGGGTCTGGGAGGATGGGGTCATGGTGGGCAGGCCAGTGCAATGAATAGGGCAGTGCCAGCCAGGCAGGGCTTGGGACACCTCATTCTGGCCTGAAACCTTTGTCTGAAAAGTGATGATTTCAGACATGTACATTAAGAGACTCTCAAGGACTAGAGAAAGTCAGAGGATAAGAGCACTTGCTGTGTATGCATGAGGACCTGAGTTCAAATCCCCAGCACTCACATAAAAGTTGGTCATAGCTGTATATGTCTGTAACCTCAGCTCTAGTGGCAACAGGGAATCGGTCGAGACGGAGACAGGAGGATTACTGGGACTTGTTGGGTGCCAGCCTAGTCAAAAAGTAGTGAGCTCCAGGTTCAGTGAGAGTCCAGGCCTTCAGGAATCCTCTTGTATCAGAGACCAATACAGGAGAACTCCTGAAGTCCTCCTCTGGCCCCTGCACATGTGTACTTGGTGACATTCACCTCCACATACATACATATACACACAAACAAAACCAGAACAAAAAAGAACCCTTCAGTGCAGGATTGGTGGGAAGCGGGGGGAGGGGGTAATTGCAGGGACCTTGATGGAGTTAAAGCAAGGAGGAGCTTTGGGGGAGGGAGACATTGGAGGCAGAATCAGCAAGAAGACCACAGGACTGTGAGGGGAGGTGAGATGCAGGGTAGAGCCTGATTCTTGCTGGGCTCTTAGGCAGAAAGGCCACCCTGAGGCTGAAACAGGGACACAGGAAGGGCAGGCTGACACTCAGTTTGGGTGCTGTGAGTCCATGGTATTTGTGGCACTGGTTGGATGAAACCTGGCCTTAGGTTACTCTCAGCCTATCCCTGGCTGACACATAGCACATGACAGTTTTTTGTTGCTGTTCACTCTGAAGCTAGAAGTTTGGGTGAGAGGCCACATTCTGTCCACAGCACAGGACTTCCAAACAACGTGGGTGCTTGCTCACTTCCAAAGAAAGACCCTGTGAGGTAGTTCAGTGGAGCCTGTGGCTCTAGGTCACATTCCACACATTTTTGGCCCCTGACTTGGGCTTGGCAGCCACTGCCTTATTGTTCTGCAGCTTGGCAGAGGCTGGGGGATCCTGGAATCCCAGATCGCAGGGACAGGCAACCCCTGCCTCCCCCCCATCCTCGGGGGACGGGCCCCCCCCCCCCCCCCCCCCCCCGTGTTACCCACAACATGTGCTTTGGGTCTGTCCCCTGCTCCCCATGTCTCCCTCCAGGTGCCCTTTGCAGTGACCTTCCTGTATCTGACTCTGAAGAAGTAATCCCTGGTAGGAACTTCTGGTATGAGGAACTTGGGTTTCTGTTGGGATATAGAAAACAGAATGCAAGTTCCCTCCAGGCCAGCCCCCCTGACAGCTCCCTGGAGCCAGTGAAAGCCTTAGAAGGTTTGTAGCCACAGAGACCTGGACCGGAATCCCTACCTGTAGCTTACTAGCCAAATGGCTTTAGGCCCCAGTTTCCCCACCTATAAAATGGGTATCCCAATACCCCTGGGGATGAGTGGGAAAGACCTGACCCAATGAGAGAGGGCCTTTCTCCCTCCCTCCCTCCCAACCTCCCTCTGCCTATTGAAGAGTGTTCCTCCAGGGTGCTTGGCAGGCCTGGCTGACTTCCTCCCTAGCCTGGGAAGCACTGTGCGGCAGGTGCCACTGGGCTCTGGATGGGACTGCACCAAGTGACTGTACTTTGCCAGAGCAGGGGCTTTGATGTGGACAGTAGCTGGGTGTGGTTTAGAGAAGGCTCTGCCCAGGGGCCCCTGAGGGGGAAAAAGGCCCCTTGTAGGCACTACTCCTAGGATCACCCCTCATGCATGGACACAATGCCAGTCTTAAGTGGTAACAGGGATCACTCTGTGGGGTACCACTGGAAAGGGACATGGCAGCATGGTGGCCTCTGAAAAAGATGCCAACATAGGTCTAAGTCCTGGTGCTACTGCCTGTGATCTGTGTGACCTGGGCAAGCCTTTTAACCTCCTTGTGTCTCAGTTTCCTCATGTGTACAATGGGACAATCACAGAACCCTCTCCATGGAGTTTGTGTTAAGGTTTACAGGGATGAAGGGTGTGGAAAAGTGGCTATCATAGTAAGGGCCCAGCCAACTGTTGTCACCATTGTCTGTTATTTCTGTGATGGCTTGGGTCCCTTGCATGGCCCTGGCACCCCACATGAGGTTCATCCAGCTGTTGGAGGCCGGTTCCAGGAGGGATGACCTCCACAAACACCTGTCAGACACCTGCCTACTGGGATGTACCCAGGGTCCCAGCTGGCGAGTCATAGAGTACAGATTCAAACTCAGGCTTCTGGCCCCAAAGACCTTGGGACTGGGACTGGGCAAGGCAGGGTGAGGGATGGGGCAACCAGAGGCAGGGTCCACTTAGGCAGGTGGGCAGGAGAATGAATGCATGTGAGGCCAGAACAGGGTGGCCCGTGGGCCCATTCTGGAGCCTTCTGAGATAAAGATGGAATCTTCTGAAGACAGTTCTCCAACTTCTCCCCGGAGGTCTCCCTAAGGGCAGGGGGGTGGTGAACATGTCACCCTGAGGGGTATGGGGGTACTGCCCGCAGCAGCTGCTGAACCACAGGAGCCTCTGGTTTCATCTTCAAATTCATGCGCATTTTACATCGTTCTCATTTTATACCTGGTTTGTTGTCTCACTCTTTCCCCTTGAGTAACAGAGTGCCTGAGGAAGATGCTCCGTGTTTATCTGTTTATCCTGGGGCCTGGGGCTTTTTTCCTCCAGTACCACCCTGGTGGGGAGGGACATGCGTTAGCAACAGGGCGTTCAGCCAGATGGTGGGAAGATGCCAAGGGTACCGGGCCCATCTGCATCCTGGGGAGACCCACAGTGGAGGTGGGAGGTGAGGCTGGCATGGAGGGGTATGGGGAACAGAGGCCTCCAAAGCACAGGCCCATCTATGATACCCCATTTGTTGTTGATCTGAGACTGCTCCATGTGTATCTTCATACATGAGAACAAGCTATGTCAAGGTGGTTAATGTAGACAGGAGGCCACATGAACCTTACAGGCCAGGAGTGGCCGTCAGTCACACTGCAGAGGCCCTCAGCCAGCAAAGGCCAAGCAGGAGTTTTCTGCCCTCTGCACCTGTCCCCTTATGGCCTCACTTTCTGCTGTAGTCTTTACGTGCCAGAGAGCAGTTTTACCCCCAAAAGAGCAGTGAGGGGCCAGAGGCCATGACTCAGCCTGAAAAGTGGGTACAAACATGAGGACCTGAGTGTGGTCGCCAGCATTCATGTATAAAGCTCACCTATAAATCCCAGCACTGAGGAGACAGAGACAGGGGATCCTTGGGATCTCTAAAAGGTAGATCTTCATGGGAGGTCCTTAGGACCCATGGCCTGGCCCTCCAGCGTCACTGAGTCTGCTGCACTAGGGTCCAGCAGGGACAGGGATGTGAGGTCCTTCCCACAACTGCTGCTAAAGTCTGGCTGTGCTTTCTCTTCCAGCTACCCAAGCCAACTTGAGTTTATATTGGGGTGCTGATGGGCACAGTAGGATAGACCAGTTCCCTATCAAAAGGCTACCGAAAGAACTAAGCCTTGGAGCAGGGTTGAATCTGGGGCCTCCTTGCTGGCCTGGGATGGGCAATTCACTCTTCCCTGCAGGGGATCTCAGTTTTCCCCTTCCGATGGGATAATCCTAACAACCAAGACAGGACTGCATGGAGGGAATATGTCCTGTGGAATGTTGAGTCCTAGCCCAATCACTTGTGAGCTAGGTGACCATGAGCTGGGTAACTGCTGTGCCCTCTGCTTGCCCATCTGTAAAATGGGACAAGTGATGTGTGGAGGGGAAAGTGACCAGGCCCCTATTTTCTGTTTCAGCCTGTGACCTTGTGAAGCTGGCATGCAGGATGGCAGGACAGCCTAGCCACATGCCCCATGGAGGGAGTCCAAACAACCTATGCCATGCACTGGGGCCTGCACCCCTTCCAGACTCACAGGTAAGCCCATTCTCTTGCCTCCCAAGTTTGCTAAGCCTCCTTTACCCAGCCCCTCAGTCCCCAGAGGGTGCTGCCTAGCATCCTCAGACAGAACATCTCAACTGCTTCCAGGGCAGGGCACTCAGTACCTGACAGGGATCTCTTCATTTAATTCGGCAATGCCTAGTTTCTGTGTGAGGGAAACAGCTTTTTGTCAGTGGCTCAGTGTGCAAGCAGAGGGAGGGACCAGAAATGGATAGAAAGTCCTTCCTGGGCCAGTGTCAGCCTTCGTTGTATTCTGAACTATGTTTGACCACTTCGGTCTTGTGGTCTAGAACAGCAGAGTTCTGGGATGGTCTTCCTATTCTCACCTCACCCTTGCTGTAGATGCCTTAGAGAGCCAAGCTGCCTTTGGTGTTGTTCTGAAGGGGGCTTTGGGTACAGAGCTGCCTTGTACACACAGTGCCTTTGTATACCCTGTTCCCTGACTCGAACGCCCTCCCAAGTCTATCTCCAAGCCAGATTTCAAATGCCACTATCTGAGGAGACTTTGAACCACTGCCTCTACTTCTGCCCCCCATCCTCCTGCTGTCCCCACATCTGTGTGCATCTCCCATACCTGTGTGCATGCCCTCACACATACATGCATGCCCCACCTGGCCCTGGCCTTGCATGTTCTCCAGATCAGGGCTTTTCTGATGGCTGCATGCAGCATAGAGGAGTTCTCTGCCATTGTGTCAGATGCAGGCCAGGTTTGCTGCCAGGAAACACAGCCTACTGGGAGAGAGACATAACCGGACAGAAGAACCCTTAGGGCTCCTAGAGGCCCGGCAAGCAACCCAGGCAACAGAGAGTGCCAGACGGGGTTCTGTAAGAAAGGGATGGGCAGCGATCTAGAGGGAAGCCAGCTTGACTGGGCAGGGGCCCTGGGAGCCAGATCTTTTAGGGTCTTGTGGACAGCCTTGAATAATGAAAAATTCTTATCCAGGGTAAACTTTTCATCCGAAGGTCTCGAGACCTAAATCAGAGGGAGTTTCAAGACTATATTCCTGAGCTGTGGAAGGTCTGTCATAGCTTCCAACTTCCTAGTCGGAAGACTTCAGGCTCACCATGTCCATTGTGCAGGTTATATACTGTGGAACGATACCTGGTCAAGGTGGCAGGTGGGTCTAAAATCCCTCTGCACTTGCAGTCTTACTGTACTGTGCTCTGTCATGTAGGGCTGTGTTAGCTGTAAGAAGGCTCCTGATGCAGAGCCACACAGAGGTGGCACATGAGGTCATGGGCACTGTCTGCAAACCTTAGCTGGTCCCTGCACATAAATCCATGCTGTTTGTACTGTGTTTGTTACTGGCTTGGATGCAGGGTCCAATTTCCATGTAGAAATTAGGAGGCATAGCCCTGGAGCTGGGAAGCCCCAGGACACTATTGGTCCTGAGTCCACCAGGACATGGTGCTGATGACTGGGGCAATGGGGCCTGCTTGGGTAATGTAGCCATTTGTCACATTAAGTCATTCACTAACAATCGAATCCCTCTTGATTAATCTCCTGGAATTAGCCAGTTGCATTTTGAGCAATTAGGGTTAATTACAGGCTCATTTGGCAGAGGAGAGAGGCCTGTAATTATTTCTTGTGCGAGGCGAGGAGGCAGCAGAGGGCCATGGTGGCTACCGTGTCCTCAGCAGCTCATCGCACATGTTGGAGTGGGTGATGATATAGTTAAGTGTAATTAGATGCAATCACTCAGCATCCGCTGCTCTGGGCAGTGATTGTCAGCCAGGGATGCCCTAGTCCTACCTGCATTTGGCTGGGCTTGCAGACCTGGAGTGCATAACCCAGTGTGCTGTGCCAACTTCAGGCTGGGACAGGAATGGAGGCTGGCCAGGCAGGTCATCTCTCCCTTCACAAAGTGCCCATGTTTCAGTCCCTCCTGGGGAGACATGGCAGCTAAGCCTTGCCTGTTTCAGCATACAAAAACACTTGATATGGACTGTGGAGCCGTTCCCTTCATAGCAGGAGCCACCACCATGTCCCAGCAGCTGTCCTTAGAGCTAAGAATGAGGCTCCAACTGTTAGGAGGTTCGATACAGGAATGCTTTGAGCCTCAGTCTCCTCATCTGTAAAATAGGGATAGTAATGGCATTTCTCTCCCAAGACATCTGTGAAGACTAAATGGTATGATATACTTGAAACATCTGGTCTCACAACCAGTACCGTGGTTTTACAGGATATTAAGTGTGTGGACTTCATTTTTTTTTATATTTTAAAAATTATTATAGTTTTTACAGTGGAAACCATGTAGCTGGGTTCATACTCCAAAGACAGAAAAATCAGAAGCGGTCCACCCGTACTTTTTGTGAACCTTCTAGACTCCAAACTAGCAGCTTTGGAAAAGCTTCTTAACTAGGATTGCTATTAGCACACGGAAATCTGTTTGCTGAACCCGATGAGATCCATGTACACTTAGGAAGTCTGGACTGGGCTTTAGTTGGGTTTCTGGTGAAGGGATGCAAAGAATTGAGAAGGGGCTTTACCATCCTACCTATCTCTGCTGAGTGTTTTCATTAGGGAGAAATACAAAGTTCAGCCAACTCAAAGAACCACCTGGGTTGGCTTGAAGGGAAACGGTATTCTTGTATGAAAAGCCCGTTATGATCCATCTCTGTCTTCAGAACCCTGCTCTGGACAAGCTGAGTTCACTGCTGTTTGGAGAGACATGTGCATTCTTAGCCAGGGTGGGGGCAGCTGTCCATAGCTGTGTGTTTCACAGACAACATCTATATGAAAATCTTCCCAAAGAAATGATGGTATGTGGGTAAGATTTAATGACCAAATATTGATGGCTGTTAAAACTCAAGGATCTGGGAAGATAGCTGTCAGTAGAGTGTTTGCCGTACAAACGTAAGGACCCAGCATTCATGAAAAAGACGTGTGCAGTGGTATGCTTCTGTAACCTCAGCGTTGGGGAAATAGAGACAGGCAGATCTCTAGGCTAGCTGAGTAGCAAGTTCTGGGTTCAGTAAAAGACTCTGTCTTAAAAATAAAATAGAGCCGGGCGTGGCAGTGCACTCCTTTGATCCCAGCACTGGGAGGCAGAGGCAGGTGGATCTCTGAGTTCGAGGCCAGTATGTTCTATATAGTGAGTTCCAGGCGGGCTGGGTCTACAGGGAGACCCTGT